GAGATGAACGGTTGACAGACCATTTGCAATAATTTTAAACCTGCTATCCATGTAGTTGTCAGCACAAGTCGGGCTCACTAGTAACTGCTGGCCATGTTATTGTTATGCCACTTTTTGAGTATATCAAGTACTGCAGATGTATGCTAAAGAATGTATCTGTGAAGGCTTTGAATTGTTTCATAATAAACATGGTCTTAATGAAGGACAGTGCATTATATTTTTATGCAACTTATTTCAACTTGTGAAGGAAAACAATTTAAAGAAGAATTTTTTATTGTGTTATATAAGTTCAAAGTTAAAATGTAGACAAGGTTCAACTGATCATGATGTTACTCTAATAAATACATAGATAATATATCTATGGCTTTTTACTGTAAAATGACATAAAGATTTCATTTTATAAAAGTGATTACACAGTAGTATCATTGTTTAGGTAGGCTATAAGTTTGTGTCTATTGTATATACCAACCCAAGCTTTTTGTGGTTATTAAAAAACTATATATTTCTACATAGGCCAGACAGGTTACTTGATATTCAAGGTCAAAGGCAATCCAGCCCCAGAGTTCCGCTTCTACAAAGGGGTTAGTGAGATTTTTGAGGGAGGACGTTATAAAGTGGTCACTGATGGTAACACTAATACTGTGTATTTCTGCATTGTTAAAGCTAAGTCAACAGATGAGGGCCGTTACAAAGTGGTTGCATACAACAAACTCGGAGAAGACACCGTAGGCATGTCTCTATTTGTCAGTGGTAAGCCTTGATTTAATTACTTGTACAACAGGCATGGAGAAGACACTGTGGGTATATCTCTTTGTGTCAGTGATAAGCCTTGATATAATTACATGTGCAACAGACAGGGAGAAGATACAGTAGGCATTTTGCTGGAGAGTCATAACAGTTAATGAATCCTGACAGGCCAGTTTATCAAGTTATTTTTTATTTTCATTATCTTTGTTTCAAAGAAGTAATAATTTTGGTTATTTCAAAGTTTTGATTATAAGATTTGTTTTTTCTTTGATTTTTAACACTAGGTCCTTTTTATTTTAATTGAGAATTTTTTTAAATGAACTCTTTCATTTATGAAGAATATTCAGTATATGCAGATAAAGTAATATGCATACTTATTAGTCACTATTCCTTATTTGTTATAACTATAATTCTTTTTCTATATATATCTAGTTCTTTATCTGATGTTTTTTTTTTTATTTTTAAGAGGGTGTTTCTGGGGTTGTAGTCAAGTTACATTGGATTCTTGGATCTTTTGAGATTTAGTTATGGATATTGTTACTCTAAAATATGTATTGAAGTAAATCTGAAAGACAGGATCTTGTGCTACTAAGTTTTTGCCAAGTAAGTAATCAGAGCATGTTTAGAAGACAAACCCATTGATTTAATGTTCACAAGATTAACTCAGTAGGATTATTTATAAAGATCTGCTTTTCAAGCAGCAAGGATGATTTGTTATTAAACGAAATTAACAATTTGTTTCCTCTTCTCTATACTTATAGATGAAAATGCTGTGGACTTTAGGACAATGCTAAAACACAAGTATGTGTGTATATCAAAATGTTGATGAGGAATCTTTCAAATATTTTCTATGTTAGTTACTCTGGTTTTAATACATCCTCCATAGCTAGTACAGACGGTGGTTGAGTATGCTATATTAAAACAGTTTTGAGCATGCAAAAAAGTAAGTAATGTGACAATCCCAGGCAGTACAAACTCATGGTGGAGGACCATTTATCAAAACTACATTTTGTTATATTACTTGGCATTTCATAGGTAGTGTGATACACTGAAAATTGATGACTTTTGGGAAGGGTATTCAATAGCACTTTCTGATGCAAAATATTTATACACACAGAACATAAAGATGTGTTCATATCAGGGATTTAGAATTTCTAAGATGAGGATATTTCTTATACTTGATGTCATTAGAAAACAAAGGAATATGGATCATTTGGGGGCACCAGGATCATCCAGAAAGAAACCAGAAATAAGGTGAACTACAGCTTTAGCAGAGTGCAGGCCAGTGACAAAAGCTATCCACATGTACCAGATAACAGTACGTTACATAATCAAGAAGGTTCTCACTCTGGAAAAGTGACACTACTTCCATGATATATCTGTTCAATTGTCTTGTATAAAAAGCAGCTTGTGAATCAAATAGGTATTCGTGATATTCAGTATGAAAACATGTCAATCACATTGGCAGACACAGCATCTGAGGGATTATGTATGATCAGATCATTGAAGCAGCTGCTGCGAAAACCAATGTTCATGTACACTAGGTGAATTATGGTAAACCAGCAGGTAGGAGGGGTGTGCTTTGGAGATGACATTTTTATGACAGAGCCCCTTTTGCAGTGAAAACTAATGCTGTATAGCTGTTGTCAAGATACACAGTCATCAAATAGTTTGACTGGACATAGCAGTATGAACTGTAACAACATTTGTTCTAAACTTGTTTTAATGTAAAAAACTCAACCTCTGTACTTGTGTTTTATAGAGGCAATTAGTGTTCTTTAGTTTGCCTGCTAGTAGAATAATTGTGCTGATCCAGAACTTGAACAATATTTTTAGTGTTGTAATATCAAGAAAATTTTCTCATTAATTAAGTTAAATTACTTTCAGTTATGTTAAATCATGTTTCATTATGAAATTTTGGCGATCAGTAAATTTAATATTTTTCAAGGAATAAAACAATTTTAAAGAGTATTCCTTAGTAAATTTGAAAACATAGGCATAGGCTCGAAGTAAGACTCTTTAAGGTTTTAAAAGGTAGTGTTTTTGTTTGAGTAGAAACAAGCAAATCATCTACAAAAACTATCTCATTATGTATGAGTATGTACAAATAATAGGAAATTGTGCTAGTTGATTGGGCCTTTAACCCCCCCCCTCCCTCCCACTTCATCCTGTCTTGTTCATTCATCTGTGATCAAAATTTAAAGACAAAATTGGAGGATATGACATTTATAAATTTGTGTGTTCAGTATAAAACCTTTAAATATAGATATTTAAAATAGTTTCATCCATAAATAAGTCAATGTCTAATATGTAGCATAAATGTTATGAATGCAACTGAACATGTGTCTTTGTGTTTAAAGAGTTTCACACATCATTCGGAGTTTATTACAAAACGTAAATAGTATGACATGTAACTTAATGTACTTCTTTGTCTTGTAAGAGTTTCACACATTAGTCAGACTACATTACAAAACTTGTAAATATTAGGTCATCAAGAAATTAATGTCACTTTTTTTTTAGATGAAAAAACCTGAACAACTTATATATCAAAACAAAACATTTATTATATGAAATAGTCTCCATTCTTATTGATGATGCTTTTCCATCTTATAATCAGGTTGTTAATGCATCAATATGAATTCCAACATGTTGGCCCCTACCTTCACAGTTTTTAAAGCTAAAGTCACCTGAACAAAATTTTTTGAACCATCGTTGACATTCAAAACATTTCCATAAACTTCTTTGATATTCTTTGTGGCTACAGAG